TCAAAGATACAATCCTATTATTTGACTGTCCCTCTTCATCAAAATTTATCGTGTATAGCTCGCTCGTATTATCTTCGCACCTTCTTGACACCTTTATTGTCGCATTTATTTAGAATTTATAAAGAAATCTTTTCCAAAGACACGGTCCGTCGTCATGTCGCGTCGCGTCTTAGAGCGTGGGGGCGATTCGAGATGCGGCGCGATAACCGCACCCGGCTCGCGGGTGGAGTTTGCTGGGCGTAACGAGAGAAAGAGAAGGCCGGGCTTCTCGGGCCGCTCGCGTTGTTCTGGACGTCTTACGGAGATTTTATAGGAGCGTAACGCACAAGCGGCATTGTACGCGCCGCTCGACGTCATAATGATTATAATTGCCTTTGCTATCTTTAATGTCCTGGAAGCGGGTAATGGTAGCAACTATTATGGCCGCTCGTATAACGCCACCGATCTTGATATCCCCACTTAAAGTTCGCAATTTCCAACGTCCACCGGATATCTTCCTATACTTATCGCCGACGAATCGAGCCTGCTCCGATTTTCGTTCTCGTTTTTTAGAGCATTTTATCTGTTGAAAGCTATTCATCATCAACTTATGAGCGTCATTTCATTAACGAAAAAGATGTCGATTAAATTTGTGAGAATGCTTTTCTGTATAGTAGAGATTAGCCGGACATGAGTTTATCTTTTTTGGTTGATGGAAATGCGAGGTTTAGCGAGAGAAATGCTTGAAATTGTTTCAAATTTTAGTTCTTAACTAAAACGAGGGATAATGAGAGTAGATAATACTTAAAGAGATATGTTTTGCTTGAGGACTTTCTTTTTTTTGTAAAGCGATAATTTTATTATATTAACTAATTAACAGGACACTTAAAAGTTTTGCTTTCATACACTTTTATATTAATATTGGCCTTCTTTGATTAGATAACTACATATGCGCCCAAGACACTTTACGTCCGAAAGACTTCTATAAAATAAAGTTTCTTGTCGTCGTAATTGCATCACACCACATTTGCGCTTTAACGATCTCTCCAATCCTTTGGACGAGCAAATACGACCGTCGGAGGAAACGAGCGATAAAATTTTTATCTCGCTTTGCACGTTTGTCGTAATTTAAGCGAACCTACCGCAAAATTCGCACAGTCGGGCGAATTGAGAAATTATTTTATAATAATCCATATAAAATGAACCCCTAAAGGATACAGATTAGAGCCCGACACACAGTACTCTCGTCACGCTAATAATAATGTTAAAACTATTTATTTATACTGACTCGTATCAATTTAAAATTAAAATTTGTGTATCGTTTCTATTACGATATAAGAGATTGACATCTCGTAAGATGTGGACTTGAAAACGTTAAAGAATTTTCTCTTTTCAATGTTTTCAAGTTCACATCTTAAATACTGACTCGCCAGTATCAATTTAAAATTAAAATTTGTGACATGTATTGTTTCTATTATGATATAAGAGATTGACATCTCGTATATAAGATGTGGACTTGAAAACGTTGAAGAGTTTTCTTTTTTCAACGTTTTCAAGTCCACATCTTACGAGATGTCAATCTCTTATATCGTAATAGAAACAATACACGTCACAAATATTTAATTTTAAATTGATACTGGCGAGTCAGTATAAATAAATAGTTTTAACATTATTATTAGCGTGACAAGAGTACTGTGTCCTCGCATGAAGATGTTGTTTCTTCATAGTCGTCTACCCGCTATTATCCAATTCTCGATCTCGAAAGGAAAAGTCGGAGCGCATTACGTAAGGCTGCACCCGCTTCCGTTTCGCTCGAGACGCACCCTTAAGACAGGATTTACGGCCGGAAGTTGAACCCTTGCGCGGATGCGACATAACTGTGTATCGCTCGCGCGAAGGTTTTTAAAGTACAGAGACCTATGGCCAATTATATAATTAAGACAATAAGTCGGTGAGTGTAGATCCACGTTGTCCGCCGACGACTTCCCTCTCCTTCGAGCGAGACTTGACAGGTCGGTACAGGAAATTTTACGTTATCATCATCCGTATCAGGGCAGTCTGAGATGTATTTTTTATAAAAATATCGTGATATTGTATGTGTATAACATACGAAAGATTTTTGTCCTATATAATAACGATTTTTAATACGATATCGTGAACACCTATATTCCTGTATTTTATTTCTGTTTAACTTGCAACGTTACGAGAACAAAGTTATCGACGCTCTTTATCCAGCCGGAAGAAAGCAAACTATCTCAATCTCTGACGCGGTGGAAAAAGTCGCGCATCGATAATCGTTGCTCGTAAAGCTAGCGACGTGTGCCGCGCTAAGTGCTTGTGAGAGGAGCTCTTCTTGCTCTCCACATCGTTCGTCTCTTCTATCGCGTTTCACGTCTTGAGGTCGTAAAATTCATTCGCGCGATGGTCAAGAGGCCAGAACGAAGAAGAGTTGGAAATCGGTTCGACGATCTTTACGTTTCCACAGAGAGCGCAATTCGTGATACATTTGCGATAGGTGTCCCACTTTCCTTCCAACCATATTAATATCTAACGAAATATTCTTCAACGTGTTTAAAATCGAATCCGCGAATTGACTTGCAGAGATCATTTATTGTAGCTCGTAACGAGCAAAATAAAATCGCAAATGTCCTACGGCTAAATTGCGCAACAAACGAATTGACAGCCTTGACAATCCAGTTAAGAGAAAATGATTGAAATTCGATGATTAAAATTTTCAAGGAATCACTCTGTTCATCGAACGCGATCATTACCGGATATTCTTACCGAACGCACCGTGTGTATACACCTCGATCGCTATAATCACAGCACCTTCGAGTCCGTTAACATTACTAAGCACGCGTACATCGATCATCGGCAAAGTTGGCTCTCCCCGTGGTTGCCCGGGACGAAAGTCGTCCGATCAACCGGCGGTCGTATCAGGAATTATTATTCACCGGCCGTCAGTGGATGAGAGAAGGAGAGGGCGGGGCTGCGGCGCATGCATCATCGAGAGCAAATTCCGTTGCCCCGTCTTTATTTTACCACGGTAGTGAAGTACACACGGGCGGCATGTAAGAGCGAGCGAGCGAGCGAGCGAGCAAGCAAGAGAAAGAGAGAGAGAGAGCTGCTCTTCTCCCCTGATCCTCACGTGGCCGCCGTCAGTCCGCTTAACTGTAGATCAATCAATATACCTCGCTTGAACCCTCAGCCTCTATGCTCCGTCCCCTCCTCCCTTGCCTTTTACTTCGTCCTCTCCCTCCGGCTGCCCCTAACGAGCTCATCGCTCGTGTAGCCAAAGAAAAAACACGAGAAAGTGGTACAAAATGGCCCTTGAGAAATGCTGTCCGTCCATCCGTTCGTTTCTTCGTTCCTTCGTTCCTACGATACACTCATTGCTTCGTTTCATCAAGGGTAGCGGACGAAATTGAGAGAGCGAAGGTGAAGGGGTTGCCGCGAAAATTGAGCAAGGAATATGAATAAATTTCTTTCTCTCTCTCTCTCTCTCTTCTCCCCCCCCCCTCTCTCTCTCTCTCATCGAATTAACTTCGATTAACGATCCACTGCACGTGGTGGCGATTGCCAGGCACCTGCCACTGCACGCTGAGAAACCGCCCGTTCTACACAGCTGTACGCGCGACGTGCGTGCATACTGCACGTATTTCGTTTTGTCGCCATACATCTCGTGCGCGCAGCATTTTTTCCCGTGACAGGCGTCGACATTTACGTCTTCACATAGGCATTATGCGCTTTGACGTATTACTTTACATTTCTATATTGCATTAAACGAGCATTGTGGTACTTTCATTAATTATATCGCTGCTAATAAAATACGAATCCATGAATTGGATGGTTAATTCGAATATAGATAGTTAATTAGCCTTCCCATTAAAATAAATACTTGCTTCAGATATAAAAGTATTACTAAAAAAAGCAGATTTTATCTTCTTTTTTTTCTGTATACAATTAGACGAATGTATATCGAGTATATTAAGATTATATATTGAATCAACTGAAATTCGAGCGCGTAATAGACACGCCGCAATTTTGCAATTACTTTTGTTTTATTGTTACTTTCATAATCCGCGAGTAGTCCAGGCGGAAAACTAGCTGGGATAGACGGCGTGAGCGTAAGGTATCGTATTAATTATTATTCGCCCTTGGGGGAGAGATAGTGTTGCGAAACACCGCGCGATTAGTTGAATGAAATTTATCGTCGCGGCAAATGTGTGAGTCGAGTCGAGTCGAGTTGAGTTTGAATTGCGAAGAGCGTAAGAGTTGAAAGAGAGGAAAAGGAACAAGCTTGTAGTCGCTTGTCGAATGAACGTTTAAGGGATGTAGAAAGCACCAGAGAAAAAGAGGATAAGGAGAGAGACACTAGGAGAAGAGAAAGCGAGGGTGTACGGGGCTCATATTATAAAAGCAATTAGGAGGTCTCAGATTAGATATAGCACATCGTACATAACAAATATGATAATACGGACCGCCAGCCCGAAGGGGGTTTGGCTTTCGTATGGTCGGCGAGGGTTTCGGGTTATGAGGCAGGTTAAACGGAATCATTAATAATCGGAGCTAACTAATCTGCCTGTCGCTATGAGCACACTTGTTTCACTCCTGTTTTTATTACCACGCCGCAAGGTAACGTTTTATTCTCCCGATCGGGACGAGAAGGGCATTGCGAGGGGGGGAAAAGTATTTGCGCGATTATAAACGCGCACGCGACACAAAAATGTTGATTGTTGGTTAGTTACATCGAATTGTATTAGCCGTATAACCGTTCACAAAAAGATCCTCAACTATAATATAAGCTGATGTTACAATGCGTGAAATGAAGATGTATTCATCGTCGTGCACAAGATGTCCTGTCGCTACACGTGTGTAATTTCTGTAAATATCGAAAAAAGAGGCGCACGCCCCTTTAAGCGTTAATACGCTAAATGGCAAGACGCTCATCCGTACATCGAAATGTATTATTTGTCTTGCATATTACGACGAAGACTCATTTGTATCTTTTTTTGTTTCAGTTGTATGAGCTGGATGATACCCATGATCGGAAGTTATTCCTCGACGAACTCTTCACTTTCATGCAGAATAGAGGTGAGTCTATCAACGGAATAATAATTACCCCGATGTATACAATATATTCGATAAAATGATCCTAACGTGAAAATAATGCATGACACTTGGCACGATGCCTGTGAAAAAAAATGAAGTAACATAACGAAGTTTTTATTACAAATATTTCCGCGGTGCCTTCCATCCCCCGTTCAACAAGGGCAACTCTTGCACTGATCATTTTTTTCGCCGAGCCGTCCCCCGTACGAGATTCTCTCGTTACTTGCCAACTTTACGCAGGCCAGCAATACGTCGCGAGTATTTTACAACGAATATTTTAAAAGTAAGAAGGCGCGCGCGCTCTATACTTCTACACATTCATATATCTATAATTTATATTTAACTCACTCGTAATCTGTCATACGCTTTGTCAGAGTCACGCGCTACTCCGTCTCTTTCGCATCTTTAGAAAAATACGCCGAGATACTCGGAACTCGATTAAAAGAAGCTCGAAGGAGCAGAGGCGGGACAAATCGAGCGGAGACATTCGCTCGACATCCGACTTTTTTCAAAGAAGACACTCCGCAAATTTGTTTAGATCCGCTGTTTGAATTTGTCGACCGTTGAGAAAGATACACACATGCGTGACTGCCGCGACCCGCATCTCGTTTCCTGCACACGTGGATTTTCGTACGGCCGGTACGTCCGACCGCGTCGTAAACGTCCACGTGGTTAAAAGGTTCGATAACACGTTGCATCTGCTCGACACCGAAAGCACCGAAATTAGAATCGACGGACGAAACGAGGCGGAACAACGCCCGTGAAATCGCACATTTTCTCACGCGCGCTTCCACGCGCGATAGCGCGCTCGCGTCTTTCACACGCACGACAGACAAGGAGTTCGAACGATTCGTGATACCGTAATTAGCGCAGTCGCGACTACTCGCGCGCGCTTTGACGCTATTCTACGTGGGCGCGCGTCGCCGCGCCGGTGAAACTTTTCAACGGTTACAGAAAGGAGATTGATCCGCGGCGAATCGCGGCCCGAACGTTAGACCGCGGTGAACCGGAAACGTCGGGCTCTAATTATAAACATGGCGACTCGTCCATCAATCAAGCCCGCCAGTGATGCGTCAGTGCTTCTGTTCTTTTCCCTCTTTTTCTTTCTCTCTTTCTTTCTCTCTCTCCCTCCGTCGTTTCTATACGAAGTTTGTGGCGCAACTTTGAGTCTGAGACGATGCTATTATTATGCCTACCTCCCTAGCGATAATTAGAGTAGATTGGATCAACATATCTGTCTGTCTCTTTCCAGTTGTCCTTCCAACGAGCATCTCAGTATTTTATGAACGGTAATTTTGTACGGTAAAGAGCTGCTAAGGTGCTAAACGATCGTTCGGAATGTGATAACGTGTGGCATTGAGACTCTTATGTAACGCGTGAGAACTGATCGACCTCGGTTGTATCATTGGTTCCGAAAAAAATATATTGATATTAGAATTTTCAATATAAAAATTTTAAAAAGTGGCAGAACAAGACGAGTGTGTGAAGGACGAGAGTAAACGGGGGGGGGGGAGACTCGATCTCGAGCGGGGATGAGATATTCACGATCGTGCGCGACCGTAAAGCAACGAATAGCGTCGTTTGTTTCGCGGGTTATTATACTTCATGAATGGTAATAACGAGTCGAGACGATCATAAATCCTCCGGGAGATCAATGCCGATTGATCTTTCGATTCGCTCGTAACGCGGTTCGATTAAAATCGCGGCGAGGGAAGAAAAAAAAAGAAGCGAGAGGGAAAGAGGTATCGAACGGGGCGCGCGTATCTCGATGTCTCGCGGGTAAAAGCTCGGACGTGGGCAGGGACCCGGCTGGGCTCCGGGACCGGGCCCTCCCGCGGGCTGCGTTATTGTGCCGACGCGCGGCTGCCCCACGCATGCAATAATTCAACACTAACGTAACGCATAACACCTTACTACGTCCGTGGATATAAAAGACCATTCATCATATTCGGGTATATTAGTCCAGCCACCACCAATTTGTGTTTGCTATCATCGCACTCCGACTAGGCGTTCGGCTTTTTAGATATACAAACGCACGGACAAATTATCGCGGTTAGCCGATTATCGCCTCTGACGGCGGTAGTCCGTATTTTTTTCCACGTACGACAACCTCGAAAATGGCATTTTTTCTGTTATGTGTTAATTGTATCAGGAGATTTTATTTTTTCAATTTTATCAGTTAAATTATATTGTATACAGGGTGTCCGGTAATAACCGGATAATATCTCGTGGGCTGGTAGAGCAGATTAAACTGGATCGAAAAGTCCTCTATCATTTTGCAAAATTCGCAATCGTTAACGAGATATTAATTA